TAGTTAATACATCCATCACCTCGCACAGTTAAGATTGTGTGTGTGTGTGTGTGTGTGTGTGTGTGTGTGTGGTGAGAACTTTAAAAATCTATTCTCTTAGCAGCTTTCAAATATACAATACAGTATTGGTAGCTACGGTCAAGGAAGAGTGCACTTTCTTTGGTTGAAAAACAGCCAGAGTTGCTCCCTCTCCATTTCGGGAACTCGTCTCACTGATGGCGGCTTGCTCGGTGGTGTTTGAGGGACCCTCGGCAGGTCCACGTCCGTCAGTGTTTGTGGCTGATGCTTTTACGGTGATTTAAAGTTGAGCTATAAGCATCCGGCTGCTTTATCGTGATGTCTTCTGGGTAGTGGTGTATGAGCATCGTATGTTGAAATCTCTATTATTTTTTACTATGAGTGTTTCTTATTTTTTTCCTTTATATTACAGTCAGGTCATTCTATTGATGTGACCAAGAGTTATATATCTAAGTACCCTTGAATTTCCCTTCAGGGGAGTAATGGGGGGTGGAGGGGGTGGCTATGGGGTAAGAGACCATCGGTGTCTGTCCTCCACTGATGGTGGGTTCCAGGGTCTCAGCAAAGGTCCCAGGGCCCCAGGGTGGCTTAGAAAGAGCAAAGCTTCTGAAGATTGAGTGTGAGCTTGGCTGGGAGAGAGGTGAGGATGTGTGTGGGGTGGAGGTTTTCCAGAGTGTTTTCGGTGTGTACATGGATGTGTGTATGTGCATGTACATGGAGCACACATGCATGCGTGGCATGTGTACGTGTACAGGAATGTATATGTGTGCAATACATGTGGGACACGTGTGGTACGCGCACTTGCATGCACACAGGCACACACGTCTGTGTGATCTGCACATGTGCACATACATGCACACACATGCGGACACGTGCATATGCGTGTGTGGCACACACACGTGACATGTATATGCACATGAGACATACACGTGTGTTATGCGTGCATGTGCATGCACACGCGCACACACACATGCACACACAACACAATGTGTGCTATGTGTATGCGTGTGCACGTGTGGCACACGTGTGGTATATGCACGCACATGTGCATGAGACACACGTGTGTGGTATGTGTGAACGTGGCACGATGCATGTGTGGTACATGCATGCACATGTGACACGCACGTGTGCTATGTGTGCGCATCTACACGGTTGACCCTAGAGCAATACGGGTTTGGACCGCGGAGTCTGCGTACTCACGGGTTTTCCTGGTAGGTCCAGCGCCGCGCATCCTGAGCCTCACATCCTGGGCCCCACGCGGTTTCCGGCGAGGGTCAGGGATGCGGGTCTCGATGGTCCGTGGCCCCAGGACCCTCTGGGCCGCCAGCCCCGCGCTGCTCCAGGGTCTGTGGTACCTGAGCTTGCATGTTCTGTCTCGGATGGGGGTGTTGTCCAGATAAGCGGGAGATGAAGATATAGCGGTGGTTTGGGTGCAAAAGCAACGTTTCGCTTCAAGAGGGCCGTCCGGGCCTCGGGTGGCCTGGGCAAGGGGGACGCACCGCGGGGCCCCCGGGTGGCGGGTCCCGACGCTGGTGCCTCTGACTTCCCAGGCCCAT